GGAAAAATCTCGACAGTCTCGGACGTATCTCCTCTATATTTTTCAATCTTTTCTCCAACTCCTTTTCATTTTTCAAACGTTTTACACGATTTGACGACTTTTCGAGTAATTTGTACTCGGCCAAGAAGTGCATAATCGTGAGAGCGTCGGACCGGTCCAATTCGTATCCTCTTTTCTCAAGAAGTTCAGCAACTAACAGAGCACCAGATATTTTTCTTGACTCGCAATCTACATCATGCCATTCTTTAATTTTTCCAAAATCACTCTCGGCTGGGAAAACGAAGCCGGACAGATCAGCGCCACGATCCAAGAGCACATCGACGGTATTCGGCAAGAGTCTCGCCACGGCCCATTGAAGAGGTGCCCGACCAGACTTGTCCTTAGCCTCGATCTGCAAGGGTTGATTCAATTCGTCGCAGATCTCGAATAACATCTTCAACGGCTGAACATCGTTATAATTATGGCACAAAAAATGGAGAATTGTAAATCCCTTCTCGTTGGCCAAATTTGGATCGGCGCCATATATCAGCAACAATAGTGCCACATCCCTGTGGCCTGAACGCACGGCTATGCTCAGCGGCGATGCACTATCGCAGCTCTCGAAGAGATTGGGATCCTGGCCGAAATCGAGAAATTTTTCGACGACTTCCACAAGGCCATACTCGCAGGCCACATGGAAATGCGTTAGGCCAGATGTGTTGGTATAGTTCACATCGAATCTGTCGTAAATTTTAAAAAGCTCGCGGGTTCTCCGCTCCCATTCTGGATAACGGCCTCGAGCTCCATGCACTGCTGTGCTGCGACGCCAAAGTGGCTTGCCGTTTTGATCGACGTCGGGTTCGTCTTTGTAGCCGGCTTCGATAAGTAAGTCAATCAATGGCTCTGGGTTTAACTGCCTTATTATAAACTTTTGAAGAAGCCAATTAATTTCTTCGGTACAAAAAATGTCCCGGAAATTTGGTCGTTGACCTTCCCAATCAAGAATTAGGTGGTAAAATACATAGAAAAAAACGTTTCTCTCGTTTGGTTTCTCCCAGTTGACCATGGCACGCAATTTTTTCAATTCGTTCAAACTGTTGTCGGCCATTGTGTTCTACACACTCACGCAAAAAAACTATCACGATATGAAATAATTTCAACTTTTCACTAAAATCAACTTGCTCCGATCGATGCGACATTTTCTTTGTTTACGCTGGAGCGTCGTAACGTATGCTGAATACTCGACAAACTCGCTACCTCACTCGTCAAACAAACAATAATATGAGCATGTGTTATATAACTCGAAGAGAAACTCGACAATTCGGAAAGTATTTCCCGAAAATTTATATCATTATAGAGGACTTGAAAAATCAAAAAAATTTTGGTTATATGTTTCAAAGATTTTACTTTCCCTTTTTATTGCCTTTATAGAACTAGAAAAGTGTGCTTTTTTATCGTTACTGTTACTTGAACCTTTTTTCGTTTACTTAGAAGGTAAAATATTTATTATTTTCTGGCATTAAAGATAAGAATAGTTTTTACTTGAAGATACCTGCTTACTGAGCTTTATTTCGAATAAAGCTAATACCTTGTGTCAGTCAAATTTAAAAATAAGCGCGTGTACATAAATATTTGAGATAGATTTACACGATTTTCATAAAAAACCTAGAAAATAAATTACCAAAAAAGACTCGCTAATATTTCAATCTTAATTAGAAAAGATTTAACGGATTCGCTATCGCGGCTACGATCGAGAAATACCTCAAACATCGCCAAGAAAACAAAGTAAACTGCGAATAGTCAAATTTTTTGCGATTTTTACGATCGTACAGTGTAAACTGTACAAAGATCGATTGATGCACAAATAGATATGTTCACAAGTGCAGCGAATCAAGATCATGTTACGTATTCATAAACGTCGCGCGTCATTTTCACCGCACGCCGTATGCATCGTATACATATAATCTTTGCCTCAGCCTAAACAAATAGAGCTGCGTGAAGCAGATACGTTTCGGTACATGTATATCCTTGAGTATACACTACACAGAGGAAGAAGAAGAGGAAGATATTCTATCTGCTGCTCGAATCGATCGTTTAGCCGCGTGGTGACGATATTTTTATATAAAACGGTGCAAGCCGAACAACTTTTCGCTACGTGTCTCCATTCAAAAGTTACACTGGTTCCGAAGCACCACACGTACATACACACCCAAATTTTGTAACCCAAATTTTCCTACGAGGTCTGGTAACTGGTTCCAAATATCATTTTCAAGCCTATCACATAACGTATGGGGTTTATATCCCACGGTCCCAATAATAAACTAATTAAATAATCAAATAAATAAAATAACTTCCTCTATGAGAAAACAATAATCCATGTTAAGAACCCTGCAATATTCGGTAGTAGGTCAAACCTTTGACCTTTGATTATCTTTGTCCGAAAATGTACATATTATACTGCAGAAACTTGTTATAGATAAAATCAAACACGTAGACAATTTTTAATTGCAATTTATAAACTATAATTAAATAATAATTTTTCAAATAATCTCGAGATGAGAGGCTTGAAAAATGTTGCATTATAGTGAACTGAAAATTGATGTAGAAGAAGGCAAGAAGTAAAAGTAGTGTGTAGATTTTAAAAACTAAAACTCGTCGCAAAGTTAGAAAAAAGAGAAAGAAGACTGGTGCAAATGAAATAAGAGAAGCGGCGGAACGTGCATAAGTGCAATTGCAATTCTAAACACGTTATGGCTACCCTTAATGCGTCAGAGAAACTAGTTTTCCTAAGGCATTCCTCGGAAGAACGACGCTGCGCGCAGATAGTAGGGTACGTCTCCGCGAGAGCATTATTTATATTCAGGTCTTTTGCTCATTTTTTCCTCGCTAAAACTCTCTTTGGCTCGGCAGTCGGAGCTCGCTGGCGCGAGATGCTATTTTCACTTTTTTCCCTGGTTTATTTTTCATTTTACGCGCGTATCGTCGCTCTACTTATCCGCGCCAGCATCTCTCACGATTAGCTCGGGATGAATCTAAGACTAGTTTTATAACGATCCTGTTTTCCGTCAATGAATCCAGCGGCCGTTTATGCGACGGCACTTTTCATGCAGCTTAAGTCGAGCCTTGGCACATAGAAATTTCATAGGGTCTTATGCAGCGCATACGATTTAATAATCGACTCGGGTATTTTAAGCTTTTACGGGCGTCGTCGTCGCGGTATAAGCAAGAGCGACAAAAAGAGGATGGAACCTTTGATTAAACGCGAGCGAGCCTACGTTTATGACCACTTGTTGGCAGCTGGCTACTTTTTCTGACTCCAGTCGAGCCAAGTGACTTTGAGAAATTCTGGCAGCGAGCTACTAATTAGAAAGCCATTTGTTTGCGCCAAGGGATGGGCTGGAGTTTCTGGCATTCAGCAGCATATACATATAGCTTCATAGGCGCAAGATATGCTAATCGGGACAAGTTGGCCATCAGTTCTGCTCGTCGATACAAATAAGCCAACAAAAAAAAGGTCTCGAGCGTCGCAGGATAAAGCGCATAAAAATAAGCGAGCGCAGCCACGCACGCGAGGACAGGGCACGGAGGACGAACATGAGAGCTGCGAAATAGGCGCGCCACGCAGTACCGCGCCGATTTAAAATATCTCAGATATCCCTCTCCGAGCCGATCGTGTGGTCGTATAAAAAGGAGTATGTGGCTTACATCTTTCAAGGGCAGCCTTATCGTTTTTTTTAATTACATCATCAGCGAAGGCAATCAAACGACAACGACGACAACGACGACGCCGCCGCCGCCGCCGCCGCCGAGCAAGACGAAAGACGCAATAGAAACCAGACCAAAACAAAAATTATGCAAAAAATACAAGTCCGAGAGGCAATGTCGCGGAAGGATCTTAGTCGAAGAAAGTCTAATCTACTCTCTTGTTTCGTGCGTCACGAGACTTTGAGAAACAAAAAGTCGTTAATGCTGCTGCGGGACAGACTGCTGGGTATGCTGTTTCTGCACGCGACTTTTACAAGGACATGGGCGTGTTTTCGTTTCGGTCGGACGAGCTGTGTCATACTACGAATTGGCGCTCGTAGCTCCGAGAGCGTAGGGAAATCGACGAGTTGGGCAGGAGTCATCGCTTCGAAGAACGGTATCGAAAAGTGGGCCAGATGCGCAGGGGGGTGCGCTTCTGTCTGCATCAGACAAACAACGAGCAGTGGCCAAACCAGCAACAAAGCCAAAAAGTCTCCTTGGAATTCCGCAGACTCGAGCTAGATGTTCTTCGCGCCAACAGTTCCGTCGTCCTGTCAGCGTTTGCTCTCGTCTTTTTCTACGCAACACTCGTCCTTCCTTTTTAACGACGCAGATGCGGATTATTTCTTTTTCTCTCTTTCCCTCTCTGCGGTCTTTTTCCTCGTGCGCTTCATATATTTATAACTTGAGAGCTGATCTACTTGATGGGCCATGCAGTCCGATGTTGCAATTTCGTCGTCGAATTGCAGTCTGTGCAGGCCGCGGTACAGTCGAGATAGAGACGGAGAGCGAGAGCCACGGGTGTCGCTACGCCGTATGTGCGCTTCAAGAGGAAATCGAAAGCAAAACTCGCCATTTTCAAGGGCAACAAGGATGAATCCGCGCGCGAGGCGAAGGATGTCCGGTGCGCGCGGAACGAAGGGCTAATCGGCAACAAAAGTATTAGCCGCGCCGATATGTGTAAACGGGTTTGCATTCCAGGCTAAAAGGGCCACGCGATCGCGAGCAAACGACGAAAACAAGGTCCTTGGAATTGCTGACATTTGCCGCTTCTGCGACGCCTCGACGTGTCCGTAAACAATTTTTTAGAGTCTAGTCACAGTGTATAGGTATAAATCAATTTCAACTTCACACTTGATTTCAATTTTATAATGAATATATATTGTATATAAATATATTTATTTTTATTTATTTATATTTGTGTACATAAAATATATGTCGATGTATAAGTATTGAGCATTATTTTTATTCATAAACATATACTTGCATTACTTAAAATTATTGTCTATTTACAGATTGATGTTGCTGCCTGGCTTTTCAAATACAATGATCTTACGAAAACCACAGTTAAAGCTTTATGCTCATGTACAACAAAGCGTTCACACCATCGACAATATGAAGTAAATCTTATTCACGTAAATATGAGCGCCTCTGACTACAGGAACGAAGCATACTTAAGATAAATTAACATAACTACTATTAAAAAAGTCAGTGATGTTTCAATTAATTAGATTTACAATTTTAATTGATATATTTACAGTAATATATAAGTTTAATAATGATCTTGGTGAGGTTTTGGAATTGTTCGAAGAAATTTCAATAAAATTTTCAAGAAGAGATAAAATAAAAATATCTTTCTTCCGTATAAAAGCCAATAAAATTAAATAATATTATAATTAATCTCGAATTCATTGACTTGGATGAAGCACTGATAAATTAAAATACATACTTAAATGCTAAAAAAATGACAATCAGTCTTGTCAGTAACATCATCTTTTAATGATATGCATATTTTAGTGAATCGCAAGTTTTAACTTATTTTTCACTGACTTACACCCATTACTTTTGATCATATTATTTTTTGACTCGATACATTTCTCTTAAACTAGATAAAATTTGTAAAAAAAATTCATACCGTGTTTGTTTTATTTTCAAAAATATAAATCTGCGCAGTTTGAATTTTGACGCATACACTATCACGAATGAGGAAGGTACGAAAGTGAGAGTTTATGGGTAAATTTTAACGCACGTACGATCTGCCGATAAAATAAAGTCATATAAGGGTCGTTGTAGCGGAAAAGATACTGAATTATGACTATTTGACCAAAAAATGCATTTGGTACGTAAAATAAAAAGCTAATATGCTCAGTAGAATCACACTAAGAAAGGATACTGGCGAAACCCAGAGTCGCCACCAGGATGTCGGTTCCTTAACAAAATACTGTTATGATAAACTTACTGTTATCCATTTTTTTTCCAAAGCATACGAAAGCCAGGGTAATAGTGGAAAATTTCAAAGTCCATTTCTTTGATTTTAATAGCTTTTTTCAAAAGTATCGATGAAAAAATTGCCAAAGACATGCTTCGAAAATGTCGCTTATCAGCCCGGCTTCGGTAAGCTCTCTAAAGACTAAAAATGATAGTCCACGAAGTCACGTAAATAAGTAATTTTGCGTGTCAAAGGAAGGGCAATACATAAATTCAAGGCGCGAATGCAAATGTCAGGTGCATCGCTCGGCTCTTTCATCGCTCAACGGACGCTCGAAGAAAGCTCGACGGGAGTTTCGTTTTCTTGCGGGCTCTTGGCGGCCGGTACTTTTCTGCTCGGATGGCGCTCGACGAATTTCAGATTAAAGCATTCGGGGGGTAGCGCGACGCAACTCGGCTGCACGTAATCCATAGGGTCCTGTCCGTCGGGCACTTGGAGCTCGTACTTCCAGACGAAGTTGGAGAGGAATACAAAGGATATCGACTGGACCAAGCGCTGGCCTATGCACGTACGTTTTCCCGTGGAGAAGGGCAAAAAGTGCGCGGGTTTGACGGGACAGTCCTTGGAATTACCCCGTTCGTCCTTGACGCTGCGTATGAATCGTTCGGGTTTGAATTCTCGGGCGTCGTCGCCCCAGTAGGACGTGCCGAGGTTCAATTCGTAATTGTTGATGAAGACGCAGGTGCCCTTGTCGATGGTGCAGTTGCCGAGGGAGGTGTCGGTGATGGCCACGTGGGGGACGATCGGCGAGCTCGACATGCGCAGCGTCTCCCACATGACGGCCTCCGTGTAGGGCAGCTCCTCTCTGTCGTAGAGCGAGACCACGTAGTCTTCCCTCTGGCGCTTGCCGAACTTGAGCCGCTCGACCTCGTCGTATATCTTTCGCTGGGCCTCGGGGTTCTTGGCCAGATAGACGAAGATCATGGTGAGGAGGTTGCCGACCGCCGAGTGTCCGCCGATAAAGTCCTCCAGCTCGAACATGATGTGCTCCCAGGTCAGGTCGGACTCGGGCGACAAGTGATGCTCGAGCAGGGTCTCGGTGAAGTCGCTCGGCTTGCCCCCGTTCTGCAATTTTTCGTACTTTTTGTTGATTATGCGCTCGAGGAGGAAGCTGCGAATCGTCGAGGCCCAATCGTTGAGGGTGTCGAGGTGCTTCTTGTAAAAGGGTTTGAGCCAGGGCAAAAAGTCGAGGGCGTAGCCCTGGTTGATGTCCCAGAAGATCTTGTCGAAGGTCGTGACGATCTCGTTGAACTTGGCGTCGTCGTAGCCGAAGCTCATCGAGCACATGTAATTCGTGAAGATGTTGGCGATCGTGCGCATGATTATGGGCTTGAAAGGCTCCCTGCCCTCAATGATCGGCCTCGTGCTCTCCTTGCACAGATAGTCCAGGCAGCTGTTCATCTCCTGGATGCTGACGTCCGACAAGGCGGTCATGTGATTTCCTCCTTGTCGCGGGAAACAGAAGACTCGAGCGATGCTGCGCCGCCTCTTCTGCAGGGATGACCAGTCGCACAGCGCCAACGCTGAAACAATTAGAAATACGGTCCGAACTTAGAGAATGCTGAAAGTCGAGATTAGCGATTTTCTATGTACGACTCGCGCGCGTCGTAATACCCATTGTCAAGATCGAGCATATTATTTTTCTCCGCTGCCAAATTCTACATCGCGTGGCTTTTTCTATACATCTTTTTTTACTTCGTTTTAGCTTAGCTAAGCAAAATTAGCCTGAGTAATATATCTATATGTTCGCGTATAATAAATATAAATGTAGCTTCATTAGTCAGGTTTATTATTGTGAAGCAACGAGTCAAGTCGTACGAGTGTTGAATTTGAAACGATCCAGTATATATTTACTCTTTCTCATCGTTCTTGAATTACATTAAACGCGCATTAAATGGCAAACAATATAATTACGTAGGTTTTGTGGAAATTCCCAAGCGATGAAGTCATAATTATACGCTTAGGCGCGTGGGAAGAGCCACCCTTCTCTTTCGGTCGCCGATCGTAAACAAAATCAAGAATCCGGTCCAGCGGCCACGCGTACGCTTGGAAGCTGCCGATGAGTCACGCGCGCGCGAGCAAGTGAATTTAAGCGACGACGACGACGATAATACCGTTAATTCTAGATCAATCGATACAGGTGCTCGAGGCACAGGTGCCGATCGTGAGCCCCGAGAATGCGGACGTTCGCGCGCGCACTCCCGAGGGTCTTGTGCTTCGATGAAAATAACAGTAATAATTGCCATCTTCTTTTCCACTCTCTCTCTCTCTCCCTGTGCCATGATGCGCTTCTTCTTCGATGCCCGCAGCCGAGATCGACGCCTACGTTCGCGAACGCCTGCGAGCTATCGACGCGCCCGATAAACTATATCCTGCGTAATAATAACGAAAGTGCAGCTGCGCCCGTCTAGCGCGTACTTATGTGCGTCCGTGTCGCAATTCTGTCGCGAGCACCGAATCTAACTGTATAATGAGCACGTGGCCGCAGCCGCTTACATCGACCAACGTTGCGTCCGATTGCGATCTCGCGAGCTGATTGCGCTCCTCCTATGCTGTATCGATCGTCCGAGTCGATCGGCGAGTCCTCTGACTCACGTCTCGTCGTCTTTAAAATGATGCAACTCCGCGAATTATCCTGGTGAAAGTAGCCGGGCCCGACTCGTTAACCGCATAAACGCCAAAAAGATGAACGCGGTTAGATTTTGCTCGCGATCGAGACAGCTTCGAGTTACTCCATGTAGTAAGAGCGTATAAAATTCTTCCACGCCTCTACGGAATCCGGACAAAAGGAGCGAAAGAAAAAAGGAGGTGAAAAAAAGAGCGAATATGCGCTGATGCCGAGCTTTCGCGCGTGGCAATGTATTCCGGCCTCGCGCGCGCTCCAGCTTTTGTCCGTCGACGTCGCGAGGCATTATTATACGTCAGCGATCGACGAGGATTTAGGCAACATTCAAATTTTCTTATTACGTCGTTGGAATACGAAATCATCGGCGCTGCTGCAATGATATAATAATAGCGCAATCTAATGCACAATGCAGATATCGCTGAAAAATCGTCATGCAAACGTAACGCGCGCGGCTCAAAAATCAGCATGTAATTATTCGGCCGACGTACCAGTTTTCGCGGCTGCATAATGGCCGTGCACGCGGTACCAGGGCGAAATTTCAAAAAATTACGCGAGCGCAGACACACGCCAATGCAGATTAGCACGCGTCCGAAAACTTGGCCTTTATCTCTGCGCTGACTAGAACATTCGCACTTGAGCAACGCGACACCGTAACGGCGAAAAAAAGGCCAGATCGGCGGGTGCGTCGACTCCGAGGGTAGCTACATGCGCACACGCATAATGCGGAATAAGTTTAAAGTTCAGGTCGCGAGTCGGCGTGCGGCGATTTCTCTCGGGCAAATACTGACACCGAGTCGAATATAGAGATCAACGATATACGGCGGCGAATCGAAACTGGTCTCTGTCGAATCGTATCGCCGAGCAAAACTCGCTTTCGAAAGTTCTATACGTGCAGTGGCCCAGACAGATTTTATCGTTACGTACTGGCAGTCGACAGCTGATAGTGCGAGTTTACGCTGGGTATATCTCGCCTTGGGTGCAGTCGAGGTCTGGGCCGTGAAAAAATGATCGTCGATAGCCGAGGCGCGACGACCGACGCTATTAAATACGTATACGCATGCTATAGCAAGGTGCGTCGGTGGAAAAAATTGCGGCAAAGCGTCGAGCGCGAGTGGGTGGAGGAGGCTGCAGCCCGAGTCGTTTGCCGATTTATAATGGCGCGCAGGCCAGCTTACGGCCAACTCGAGTCCGCTGTAACTTTTATTTCCCCGGACGTCGCTGGACGATCGACTCGCGAATATATTACTTTATTATATAGATAGGCGTGCGCACGTGATCGCGAGCACGACACAGATTTGGCCTCCCTCTCGATCGGGGGCCGATGACATTTTTCTTCATGCGACACAATTTCGCGCACGTGAGTCCAGTCCGGAGTCGAATTTATAATGCCACCGAGGCGACTCGCGGCCGACTCGGTTTTCTAGCACGCGCGCGTGCCTTGTGTGCGGGTCAAAAGCGCTTTTGAACTCGGCGAAAAGCAGCCGCGGCGGCAATCAAGGCTCGGCGCGCGCCAGCCATGGCTCGATCGCGTATCCGGTGAATGCGTACACGTGCGCACGTGAGTGGCAACACGCAACTGTGTTTTTTCTCTCTCTCTCGCACTCGGTCTCTGGCTCTCCATACCTCGACGTTTACCACTCTATTCTATGCAGACGTGTGTTGTTCCCTCCCCTTTTCTGCGGTGACCAAGCTGCATACGGGTGTTATTCCGATTCGAGGGCAATATTTGTCCCGCGTGTAAATGCTAAAAAAGTTCAATGTTCAGAGGTACGCGAAGGTCCGCCGATCGTTACGAGCCGAATGAGAAAAGCTCGGTCGAGTCGGGGCGGGTCACGTGCCTACTCCAACGCGACTTCTGCTTAAATCGGTACAACGTCGGAATTTGGGAGAGCGATACAAGTCGGATGTTGAGTCGTGCGATCAGCGACGTCTATTGCCAAAGGCCGCGGAAAAAAGCTCGCCAGCTAATTTATACACGGCGTATACTATATGGATATGTATGCGTTAAGGTGCAGCGCGACTCGAGAAATGCGTGCCCGTACGCGTGCGACGCGATCGGCTTTGTGTACCTATATACGAGCATGATACTTGTAAAGCGTCGCGGCCGTTTCTCGGGACAGCTCATGCACTCTGCACCTTTCTCTCTCTCTCTCGTTCATTTTTTTTTTCATTTCATTTTTTCTCTTTTCTTTTTTTCCCACTCGAGAACGGTAATTCAGATAAGCGGCTGGGGCACTGCGAGATCGACTACGAATGAGGTCATTGCCAAGTCTGAGTATTTCAATAACGCAGTTGTAATTCATTCGACGATTGACACGAGCAAAGGTGCACCTCGAGGTGCCTTACTCACGCCGTATTCTTCTCTAAGTCGATGCAACGATTGTCGCGATGTTTCATGCTGATCCGACTTTCGCGTTTCACGTCGACCATCTTCCGATTTCATCGACATTTATTTCATTGTATTTTCTATCTTACGTTATTAAAAGGTTAATTAATAAAAAAGAAATAGTAGAGATAGACTTACAATTGTTCCGATCGCCGCCGAACAACGAGTGGAAGCGAAGAAAGTCGGGCCGGCCTCCAAAGTCGAAGCCCCGGGTGATAAGAACCTCCTTGGCGAGGGCAATGTTGCTCACGACGACGCACTTGGCCGAGCCCAGCTGGATCGCGTACATCTCGCCGTACATCTGGGACAAGCGGGTGAACGCCTCGAAGGGTCCGCCGCTGTCGCTGAGCTGGTGCAGGGCTCCGATGATCGGGAAGCCCCTGGGCCCGGCCAGCTCGTCCATGGGGATCTTCACCTCGACCAGGTCCGCGAGGTCCGTACTGCGCTTCTTGTAGTTTTTGTAGGTCTTGCAACCGATCGCGGCGCACGCGAAAACCACCATCGCAACGATCACGCAGAAGACCCCGTAGAGCTCGTCCATCGGGTCCGTCATCGTCATTGTAGCGGTTGGAGAGCTGCCTTCCCTGTCGAGCGTTGACGAGCTGCTGCCACCGCCGAGAGCTTCCTGCCACGCGCGATCTCTCTTTCCGCGATTCTTTCCTCGCGATGCACTCGTGCAAGTGACGAAACGCCTTTCGCTCGAACGTAAACACGCCGCCGAGGTATGCCCGCCGATTCTCGCTTGCTCGTAATAATCGTGCAGCGCCGCAAACGGTTCCTTCCTCTAATGTCGTCGCGCGATCGCCTTATTTATTAACTTTACTCTTTTGTGCAATCGCTGCTTAGTCCGGTGTATTTTGTCACCCAGGCTTCCAGCGCCAGAGCTGCTGATAAGCTGAAATTTAACCATTTTTTTTTTCTTTTTTTCCTCTCTTTTTTTTTTTTTTTATTTTGTTTTGATTTACTTCTGCAGCCAAGTCGAGCTTTTCTGCAGATAAAATTCGATCGATTCACGTGCGACACAATAATAATATATACGTCGAGGCACCGATTGCTACTCGAGTATCCAGTTTTGTAAAATAAGCCAACTCGGCAAAAGTACTACACATTATGATAATAATGTATGCATTTGCAAGCGACGACGGAGCTCGTCAAGCACATTTTACCACGTACGTTGGTACACATTTCCAATAAGCCAAGCGATCGCCGAATTGTATTTTGAAATGCGCCGCTCGTATATCGTTAAAGCCCCATACGATGCACCGTTTGAATTTGGCATTAAACGAATTGAAAATTGCGTTGCGAACGACAGCGAGATGGAGCTTACGTTCGTCGATGAATTTGAATCGAAAGCGTGGTAAACAATCAATCGAAGCGAGCGAAGCTATTTGTTACGTCTCATCGATAAAAGCACGAAAAACGTGACATTAGGCAATTCGACGAAAAATTGATAAATATTTGAGAATGAAAATTACGCAGTGCAGCGCGCTGGCCGGAGAGAAAAGTACGAGGCGCTTTACTAGCATAGAAGCACGCGTTGACAATTGACAAAAAATAATTAAGCACGAAATTGCGATAAATGAAAATGAAACGTACCTGTTGTTGGTTGTCGTCACGGGAAAAGCTACAAGACGTTGATTGACAATTCAACAGCGTCTCGGACACGAGGGATGAAATGGTTGCTCTCGTAGCTCGGAGAAAGCACCGGCGTTTTTACAGCGCCTCACACGTTGTTGGCTCGCGAGCCTCGGTTGAGTGCGTGAGAGTGCGAAAAAAACAGCGCGAATATACTGCTGCAACGACGCCTACGTCCACGAGTATACACAAGTCCAAATGCGTGGCAAGTGCCGCAGCGAAACTCTCTCAGTCAGTATTCTCCGCCTGCTCGTTTATAAGTAGTAGCCGCTCGCAATAGTTGTAGTTTTAAGTAGTAGACGCTGGATAGAGGATATCCCCCCCGCCATGCCGTCCACACATGGTTCTCTCTCTCTCTCTCTCGGACACTCGGAATCGGTTGCGATCGCTAAAGCGGCTCGCGTATACTCAGTCGCACTCTCTTTCGCACACCGTGCGAATATTGTATACTCGAGTATTTCTACCTACTCGCGCGAATACATGAGCGCTACAGGGCACTGCTCCACGAGCTCTCTATCTCTCTCTTTTACTCGGTCGCACAGGGGAGAAAGCCTCGACCAGTAGTGGCCAGAGTTTTGCCTCTCTCGTCGTGTTGACCCACAGCAGGACCGCAGCCACGATCCGCCTCCTTTCGAGAAGTCGCGCGCCGGCATCGTGAGTGCGCGTCGTGCATGCCTGCCTGCAACTCGACCACCTATGGGCTATACCTCTTTCTCTCTTTCCACTTTTCTTCTCATCCCCCTCTTTCCACGTCCTCCCTCCCTTATAGCCACTCTGAGCCTTAATTTTTGCAAACTTACTTTTTTGCTTTTGCTTTACACATGTACCCCGCTTGCGAGAGAGAGAGAGAGAGAAGGAGTATTGTACCGTTAGAGTAATAACTCATCCCAGCGCTCGATTACTTCGATCCTGATACTGCTGATGGCTTTGGCGAGCTGCGCTAAATTTGGACACTCCCTCGCTTCGTGCACATGATGCACGTTTGCGGCTCCCCTCGATGAGCTCCCGCAGCAATATCACCCTCCGAGACCTAAAAACGCATCTTCTCTTCGACGTGGCACTTTCGATCATATTTTCGCTGTCACTTATCACTGCGGTCCAATGCTTGTACTGCAATTGCAGCAAGTCCATTTTCATGCAACATAGTTCAAGCGGCTATTTGAATTGGTAATGACAAAAACTCACCGCCTATCAACATCTTTTCAAAAATTAACTCTCGACCAACGGCGCTGACAAGTGTATTTATTTCTCTTAATTTCATATACCAAACCCGGACATAATTGTGATATGTATGAATTAAGAAAAAGAATTAGCCATTCAAATTTATTCAAATATTGAAAGTCTTTGGAGGCGCTTACTGCGGAATGGGAAAGGGCAGATCTTCTCTCTATTTACTGACGAGCCTAAACTTTTCGTGCAGTGTGGCATTGAGTAAGCTTCGAGTGACTCACAAAAAAGCTTAAAGAGTCGTGTTTATATATCAAAATAAGCAGTCGCGAAAAATGTTTAACTGGAAATTATCGTTATATCATAAGGACTGCCAACGATTATGTGTATACTTCCGGCGTGCGTCCTGAGAAAATTGGACAAACAAAAAACACTTGCTGCAATGTGCCGCGTCGCGCCTCGATTGTAAACAATCCCACGCGTCACAAGTTATCGATTTGACAACATGCTCAAGACATCTGCTCATGGGAACGAGATGAATTTTCGCATTTTCGCAAGATCAATGTCATGTGGATGATACAACACATACATACGTTGATTGCAATTAGTTTTTCACATTCAAAAAGAACCGGATCATCAGCTTAATGACACGTAATTAATTTAGTGAGAAAAAAACGATTTTGTCTGGAAAAATGAATGAATGAATGAATGAATATAATATGAGCATGCGTAGATTTCAGTTGATGAAATTACGTGTGCAGTCGAAATGTAACGTAAAAAATGACACTTTCACGAAAACGTTGTAAGATAAAAAGTTTATAATTTGACATGATCATTATTTGAAACAAGTTTAAGTAAAGAGAAATTTAATGCAATCATACACATCTCTTCTTGATACCTGATACAAGAGGAATTTCTTCACTGAATAATTCCTCTTAGATAACCAACATTTCTAAACGCGACTCTGAGTAAAGACCGGTAGCAAGTTTAGATAGCACCATAAGTTTTTTATATTACAATATAGAAACCACCATAATCTAACCATTTACAAATTGTATTATTCAACGTACCAATTTTCACTAAAGGCTTCTCTTAGTATAAAACCAAAATACGCTTAGTTGACTTGATTTATTTCTTTTGGGCGAATTAACAGTATTGTTAAAATGCGAAAAAAAGAAAAGACAGAAATTGATATAACAATGGATGTCAGTTCACAATAAACGAGTTGATCAGCTGGTTTCGATACTTCTTATCTGTCAGATTGACTTTCTCTAAAGTAATACTCTAAACGTGTCGTAATCTACAAAATTCTATGATTGCCATAGATAGAAACGAAAATCTTAAACAGTAGCGATATACGTGTAATTTGTTGCAAGATGTAATAGACTTTTAATAAACTGAAATCGAACAGCTACTTAAAGAAAACTAAATGCCAACTTCACCTCGGTTGATCACGTACTCTGAAATTCTTTTTTTGTTACATAGCTGCTTATATAGTTTTTTGTGAATAACTCAGCCAAAGGCAAATGTTGGATTGGGGTGGTACAAATGTACCCAATATTGTAACTTTTTGCGATCAACGTAGTTCTGATAATAATAATAAGTGATTGTCACTTAATTTTAAGTGCAGTAATCATTTTATGTACATCACATAATTTTTAGAACCACCTAATTTTACTCATTTTGGCACAAGAACATGGCCAAAAATCAGCGTTGCAACCGTAAATTTAACGAAAAAGATGATTGGAATAAGAGAGTAAGATGAAAAAAAGACGTTTCTCGTCGGTGTTGTAAATCGGTATCGCGCAGAGTGCAAGTGCACATTCGTACATGATATTTGTATGGAAAAAGCTTGTAAAATCTCGGAAACGAAAAGCCGTCCTTGAAACATATCGCGAGTGACCTTGTGTCGGGGCGTAGTTTGCAGTTTTTCGTTTTCTCTTTTTTTTATTTTGACGCGCTCTCAAATGTCGCTCACGCACGCAAATCGAGCCGCCGCCGCCGCCGTATTATCGCGTGCCGGGTAGAGGCGGGCGGCTGCGTATAGGTAGTGGCGCGCGCAATGTGCATCCGCGCGCTCCGTCTCGTGATGCATTTAAAAAAATCTGCATTATAATGGCAAAGAAAGTATTACGAAGTGAAAACGAGAATATGCATCTTATGTAGGTAGATCGAGTTACGAAAACATATTATGTATAACCAGTTCTTCTTCCCCCTTTGCGCGTAATAAAAAGGAAAAAAATAAAAGCGTGCGTAAGGGCAGAGCCGAACCAAGTGCAAGGAAATGATTTAATAAAAGTACCAAGCCACACGTTCGCGCGTTCGACATTGTGATATGTGTGTTTTTAGATCAGTTTACGCTATTCTGGCGAGTAGCGAGTCTTTATCAAATACGTAGTCGGAATAAGCCTCGTGCAAATAGTCTACTTGTGGCGCGCGTGTCTACGCTATAGAAATCGGATAACAAGTATACGCTCGTGCGCTGCTACCGGTTGCTGCCGATTCCAACATTCGTCACTGGGGCAAATCTGAGTCTGCACATATTTGCGCGCTCGAAGCTGCACGCGTGGCTCGCCTCGGGTATACAATTGCACTGTGCTTCGTTCCTTTCTGCCTTTTTTTTTTATTCTCTTTCATTTTCTTGCTAGCTTCGGTTAACAGACTGACGTTTGTTTTGCACGCACATTGTCCGTAAACACGTGCAATATTCTGCCGAAATTTTCATTTTTTTCCCTGACTTTCTGGCACATGTGCACAATTAATAACGTCTTAAGCCTCGCGCGATCGCTAAAAAAAAAAAGGAGCAGCACGCACGCGGCCGTTCGAGGCACGATGCTACGATTTTATATATTACTTTTTTTTCCAAGCCCCGTGAGAGCGAAAAAATAATTCGTCACGTGCTTATCAATGCAACTGCAGAGTGCTTATATTATTTTATCTGCACGTTCCTATGTTAAATTGTGGAAATTCGTTTCAGGTACATACTCGTGACTCGTATTTAATATTAAAAATACATTTCCAACTTGCATCGTATTTGGCCTCCCTTATTTTTTCACATGCAGAGATTATAGATTAGTACCATGTATATATTAGTAAACATCCAAAAAATTGTCCTCTTGGATCGGTCAAATATTCATAAAGAAAATAGCACATTACTGTACGATAGATGAAATTGTTAAATAAAAATTATTTTGTACATACATTTTAAAATTTATCGCGTGTGCACGTGTTAGATTCTCCAAGAAAAAAAAAATAAAATCTACCTCTAGCAGTAGTCGAACAATGGCCATGAACTGCAAATCTATTTCTGATGCATAACACCTGGTGTGTCTAGATTATTTTATCCATTATTCAGGGTCAATCGTCGACAAAAATTCTCTGGGCTTATCTGGTAGTTAGATTCCATCATTTTAGCAGATAAAATAAGTAAGTCTGAAAAAATTGGTTAAACAACTCTGAAAGTGATTTTTACCTTAGAGATAAATTGTAGATGTCTGGACTGCAAACATTTCCCAATACGAATAAATTTGCAAATTTTTAAAAAGCGCTTGTGAATATATACATGGGCTCTCGCGTCAATTACAATGAAACCAAAAACTGAAATACGAAACTAAATGTGTATCATTCTGAAAAAATTGAAATGAGACAATTTTCAGAACTTGAAAGTTCACAGTTACTTTTTTATGAATCAAAGGCTTATATATAAATTTTAAATTTCAGTAGAACTTGGTCAAGCATGATTCAAGGGACCAGAAAATATACTCTTCATATTTCAATCTCGTTATATCTGAATATATTGCGTTCCTCTATAATTTACTACACTAGATTCAATTTATATATTCAAAAAACTAGTACTTTAGGTAAAAGAAGATTTTAAAAAAAAAAAAGTTATACATATTGCTGTCCTTCACAGAATGATTGTATCGAAACTCGCGGTGTTGATGAGCGGCTCATTTCTGTCTGTACGGTTTGATCGACGATCAGAATTAAAAATACAAATTAGAAAATTGTCACACAGGTCG